TATAACAATACCTTCCCTTCCACCCTGCTGTACACATCCTCACCCAAGATCCCACTCTGGATTAAGGTCCTGTGTAAATCATAATTTCATGGATTACATGGAAATTGTGAAATTAGCCCAATACCATGATTTTTCCTACAGCAGGGAGACTGTTGGAAAAATCATGGAATTGGGCTCATTTGGCTGCTCATGGGGAGGAGAGGGGGAGGGCATTGTCCTGGGGGTGGGATGTCTCACCATGTGGCACTGGCTGGCAGGCCCGGGGCAGGGATTGGGGCCTGTGCTCAGTTTCATAGAATCGTAGGACTGGAAGGGGTCTCGAGAGGTCTTTTAGTCCCATTCCCTGCACTTAAGGCAGGACTAGGTATTATCTAGACCATCCCTGACAGATGTTTGTCTAACCTGCTCTTAAAAGCCTCCAATGATGGAGATTCCACAACCTCCCTAGGCAATTTATTCCAGTGCTTAACCACCCTGACAGTTAGGAAGTTTTTCCTAATGTCCAATCTAAACCGCCCCCATGCTGCAATTTAAGCCCATTGCTTCTTGTCCTATCCTCAGAGGTTAATGAGAACAGTTTTTCTCCATCCTCCTTGTAACAACCTTTTATGTACTTGAAAACTGTTATCGTGTCCCCCACTCAGTCTTCTCTTCTCCAGACTAAACAAACCCAATTTCTTTCATTCTTCCACTTCTTGACCTTTAATCATTTTTGTTGCTTTTCTCTGGACTTTCTCCAATTTGTCCACATCTTTCCTGAAATGTGGCGCTCGGATCTGGACACAATACACCAGTTGAGGCCTAATCAGCACGGAGTAGAGCAGAAGATTTACTTCTTGTGTCTTGCTTACAACACTCCTGCTAATACATCCCAGAATGATGTTTGCTTTTTTTGCAACAGTGTTACACTATTGACTCATATTTAGCTTGCGATCCACTGTGACCCCCCCAGATCCCTTTCCGTAATACTCCTTCCTAGGCAGTCATTTCCCATTTTGTAACTGATTGTCCTTCTTAAGTGGAGTACTTTGCATTTGCCCTTATTGAATTTCATTCTATTTACTTCAGACTATTTCTCCAGTTTATCCAGATCATTATGAATTTTAATGCTATGCTCCAAAGCACTAACAACCTCTCTCAGTTTGGTATCCTCCACAAACTTCATAAGTGTATTCTCTATGCCATTATCTAAATCATTGATGAAGATATTGAACAGAACCAGACCCAGGATTGATCCCTCTGGGACCCCATTCGATATGCCCTTCCAGCTTGACTGAACCACTGATAACGACTCCCTGGGAACGGTTTTCCAAACAGTTATGCACCTAATAGTAGCTTCATCTAGGTTGTATTTCCCCAGGCCACCACTGCTGCTTTCCTGTCTGGCCAGCTGGTGGGGACAGGGGATATCCCTGACAGTGCACAGAGATTAGAAGGCATGGTCCTACCAACAGCAGCCTCTAGCAGGCCGAAGAGAGACGCTGCAGTGCTGGCTCTGCCTGGCTGGCAAGGAGCTGACACCAGGATCCGCTGTTCGGAAAATGAGCAGGTATTTGAGGGGTCAGCGGGGATCAGCAGCCCTGCATAGCCCATGAAATTCAAACACTTACCGTGGTACTGCTGTGAGGTTTTTTTTGTTTGTTTGTTTTGTTGTTGTTTTTTTTAAAGCAAACTAATTTTCCTTCTTTGAATGATTGCTCATGTGTATTCCACTATAGGTGTGTGTGCTCGCCACGTGCACCGGTGCCGGAAGTTTTTCCCTTAGCAGTACCCATAGAGAGGGAGCACCGCTGCGACCCCTGGAGTGGCGCCTCTATATCGCGCCATAAAGGGGGCTGCGTGCTCCCCCCACCCTCAGTTCCTTCTTGCCGCCAGTGAAGGTAGTCAGAACTTTGTGCTCCAGCCTTGGCTGCAGTGCTTCTAGCCTTAGTGGTACTTGTTCATCGATAGATAGCTTCTTTAGTTGGTAGCCTGGCTCGGGGCATGCCCCGTGCCCCAGGCTTCAAGTCGTGCGACTCCTGCCGCGATTCCATGCCCAGAAGCGATCCGCACTCCGAGTGTCTTCGCTGTCTGGGCGAATCTCACATAAGTGAGAAGTGCAAAATTTGCAAATCGTTTAAGCCCCGGACTAAATGCGAGCACGAGATTCGTCTCTGGGCCCTCCTTATGGAATTGGCATTGGCCCTGGCACCGGCGCGCCGACCTGACCCGGCCCCGGGTACCACGTCATCAGTGCGGAGCAAAGCCCCGTCCACCAGTCGGCACCACTCCCCGGCCAAGAAGCAGGGCAAATCCCAGCGACGCCGTGAGAAGGACAGGGGTGAGGGCGGACCTGAGTTGGCCAGCCCACGATCCCCGCCGGGGCCCAGACCTCCGACTTGTGCGGAGCGGAGTAGTCCGTCCCCTTCCGCGTGGACCTCCACGCTGATACAGGTTCCCTCCACACCGGAGGCAGCCCAGGCGGCGCGCGACATCCTCGCCATGCCGGTACCTAGCGGGCCGTCCGAGGTGAGGCCCCGGTCCCGAGGGAAACCACCGTTGGGCTCCCAGCCCTCACCAGCTATGTCGGTTGTGGAGACCTCCTTCCGATCTGCCGGGCTTTCCCGTAGCCCCAGACATACCTCCACTCCATTGTCGGGGTCGCCTGGGAGTGAATCGCCTGAGTCGTCCTCGACCCGCAGAGGCAGCAGGCACCGACATGGGAAGCGTCGACACTCCGCGTTGAGTGAGAGCGCATCTCGACGCCGACAGCACCGCCGATCATACCACGATGATCGCCACGTTCGGAGTGCATCCAGGCACTACGACGCCGCGCCCGGAGCCACCGAAGGGAGTCCAGGGATACGCCCTCCGACGTCTACTCCTATTCGTCGTCGAGGTCGAAATCCCGTGGCAGGAGCCGGCGTGGACGGCACCGCTTGAGCCGCTCCCACGGCACCATGCGATCCTCGGCCACCTCTGCCTTGGCCCCCAGCCGCCCCTCTCCAGCCCGCACCGTTCCCCAGGAACAGATAACCCTGGTGGGACCCCAGGCGGCGCAGTGGCAAGGGGCGCAGTGGCAAGGGGCACCCTGGCAAGGACAGTGGTGCCAGTGGGCACCGTGGCCCCAGGCGCCCGCACCGCCGGGACCCCGTTCTGTGGCTGGGGCATCCCAAGCCCGCTCTGCGTCCCCGTCTCGGCACCGAGGGCAGTCCTCCGGTGCCGCGCCGACGGCACCGCAACCAGACCCTGATGCGGACTGTGGCATACCGGCACCGCCCGATGCTCTCAGAACCATCCCGGTCGCCCTGCAGGCACCAGATGAGTCCATAGCGGCACCACCTCCTCCTTCTCAAGAGGATTTCAAGGCGCACCAGGAGCTCCTCCGACGTGTAGCCGCCAACCTACACCTGCAGGCGGAGGAGATGGAGGAACCATCGGACAATCTTTTTAATGTCCTCTCCTCCTCTGCACCGGGCCTTGTGGCACTGCCACTTCTCCAGGGAGTGGCAAACATCTCCACGGGGCTATGGCAGACCCCAGCCTCCCTCCCGCCTATCTCTAAGAAGGCGGAACGTAAATACTTCGTGCCCACGAAAGGGCACGAGTATCTTTACACCCACTCCACTCCGAACTCGGTGGTGGAGTCGGTCAACCACCGTGAGCGGCGCGGGCAGTCCGCACCGACCCCAAAGGATAAGGAGGCCAGGAGACTGGACACGTTTGGCAAAAAGGTTTATTCCTCAGCCAGTTTCCAACTCATGGTGGCAAACCACCAAGCTCTCCTGAGTCGCTTTGACTTTAACTTGTGGGGCTCTTTGCCAAAGTTTGACCCCTCCCTCCAAGAGCAGAACAGAAAAGAGTTCAAAGCGCTGCTTGACGAAGATACAGCAGTAGCTAAAGCAGCTCTTCAGGCCGCCTCAGACGCAGCTGACACGGCGGCTCGTTCGATGGCCACGGCTGTCTCCATGAGGCGGGCATTGTGGCTTTCCCTCTCGGGGCTGTCGGTGGAGTCCCAGTCTATAATGCAGGACCTGCCATTTGATGGCAAAGCATTATCTGCAGACCAGACAGACACCCGTCTGCACAGGATGAAGGACTCCTGCACCACCCTGCAGACACTCGGTCTGTATGTCCTGCCTGCCAAGAACAAGCCCAGACCACAGCCCTCGGCTCCCCCGGCACGGGGCAGATACGAGCCCCCGCCTAAGAGGCAGAGAGAGCAGAGGCATCGGTCCCAACGCCAATCCCGTTCGGCCCCACGACCTGGGCCCTCGAAGGCCAAGAGGCCAGGGAAACAGCGTTTTTGACTCGTTGCGGGGGGTCACCGGGCCTGTTGCCAGTGTAAACCCCCCCCCCCCCCCCCAGTTAATAAAGTTGAGTTTTACCAACCGTTTATCGGCCTTCCACCTGCAATGGTCCCCTATAATGTCGGACCAATGGGTTCTCAACACCATCTCCCAAGGGTACAGGTTGCAGTTCCTTTCGCTCCCTCCCCACCATCCTCCGTCCCGGGAGCCGGCCGGGGACCCGGAGCATGCCCTCCTCCTCAGCCAGGAGGTAGAGCGCCTCCTCTCCCTGGGAGCTGTGGAGAGGGTACCTCGGGAATTCCAGGGCAAGGGATTTTACTCCAGGTATTTCCTCATCCCGAAGGTGAAGGGCGGGCTTCGGCCCATCCTCGATCTGCGGAATCTCAACCAGTTCTTGGTTTGTTGCAAATTCCGCATGGTGTCCCTGGCCACTATTATTCCATCCCTAGACCCGGGGGATTGGTTTACGGCTCTGGACCTCCAGGATGTGTACTTTCACATCCACATTTTCGAGGGTCACAGGCACTTCCTTCGTTTCCTGGTGGGCCAGGACCACTACCAGTTTACGTTCCTTCCCTTTGGCCTGTCTACTGCCCCCAGGGTCTTTACAAAGTGTATGGCGGTGGTGGCGGCCCACCTCAGGAGGAAAGGGCTGCAGATCTTCCCCTACCTCGACGACTGGCTGCTCAAGGGCAAGTTTCGGTCTCAGGTGCTGGAGCAGATGAACTTCCTGCTAAACACCTGCGCAGCTCTAGGCCTAGTGGTAAACGAGGAGAAATCCACATTAGTCCTGGTTCAGCGCATAAACTTCATAGGAGCGCTGTTAGACTCCAGGGTGGCCACGGCCTCCCTCCCACGGGACAGATTCAAGACGCTCAAAGCTCTCATCGCCTTGCTCACGGCCTTTCCGGTAACTATGGCACGGGTGTGCCTTCAAATCCTAGGCCATATGGCAGCATGCACCTCTGTGGTGCGACATGCCAGGCTCAGGATGAGGCCCCTTCAGCTGTGGCTGGCCTCCCGGTACTCCCAGGCCAGGGACGCCCTGGACAAGGTCGTTATGGTACCGCCAACGGTGGTAGCAGACCTGCACTGGTGGTCCCTCCCGAGCAACATGCTTCGGGGTATCCCCTTCCGAGAGCCCCCTCCCTCACTAGATCTAGTGTCGGATGCCTTGGATCTGGGCTGGGAAGCCCACGTCGGGGGCTTCAGGGCCCAGGGTATGTGGTCTCCCGAGGAACTGACCCTGCACATAAATGTCAGGGAGCTCAGGGCCGTGCGCCTGACGTGCGTGGCCTTCTGCCAGCACATAGAGGGGAAGGTGGTCAGAGTCCTCACGGACAATATGACCGCGACGTATTATGTCAACAGACAAGGGGGCACGCGTTCCCAGGCCTTATGCCAGGAAGCCCTGCTCCTGTGGGAGTTCTGTATAGCCCACGACATCCTCCTGAGGGCCTTCTACCTGCCCGGCAAGAGCAACACACTCGCAGACCGCCTGAGCAGGGTGTTCTCCCAACAGCACAAGTGGTCCCTGCACAGGGAGGTGGCCGGGTGGATCTTCCTACAGTGGGGCACTCCCCAGGTAGACCTGTTCACCACCGCCCAGAATCGACTGTGTCCCCGGTTCTGCTCCAAGGCGGGAGAGGGCGAGGGTGCGATCTCGGACGCGTTCCTGCTCCCATGATCGGGGCCCCTGTTCTATGCCTTCCTGCCCTTCCCCCTGATAGGCAGGGTCCTACAGAAGGTGAAGTCAGACGGGGCGCGGGTCATCCTTATAGCCCCGGACTGGGCCCGTCAACATTGGTACGGGACCCTACTGCAACTCTTAGCGGCCCTCCCTCGCAAGCTGCCGCTTCGCCCGGACCTCCTCTCCCAGGAGGAAGGTCATCTCCTCCATCCCAACCTGGCCCCGCTCCACTTGACAGTGTGGCTGCTCCGTGGTTGAATGAGGAGGAAGGGAGATGTTCTGAGGATGTGCGACGGGTCCTGCTGGAAAGTAGGAAACCCTCCACACGTCGAACCTACCTGGCCAAATGGTATCGGTTCTCTATGTGGGCGAGGGATAGAGGTTCCTCTCCCTTTTCCGCATCTATCCAGCTTGTCCTCTATTACCTCCTGTCCCTTAGGACCCAAGGGCTGGCGCCTTCCTCTATCAGGGTGTACCTGGCAGCCATTTCGGCTTTCCACCCCCCGGTGCAGGGCCTGTCGGTGTTTTCACATCACATGACATCCCGGTTTCTAAAAGGGTTAGATCGGGCATTCCCTTACGCTAGACACCCAGTCCCGCTCTGGGACCTGAACCTAGTGCTCTCCCGCCTCACAGGGCCTCCTTTCGAGCCCTTAGCCACATGTTCGTGGTCCCACTTGTCGTGGAAAGTGGCGTTCTTAGTGGCTATCACCTCAGCCCGCCGGGTCTATGAGCTCTCATGGCCCTGACCTCTGAACCACCGTATACGGTCTTCCATAAGGACAAAGTTCAGCTTCGCCCTCCCCCCGTCTTTTTGCCGAAGGTAGTCTCGGCTTTTCACATGGATCAGGATATTTTCCTCCCGGTCCTCTGTCCTAAGCCCCATTCCTGCAATGAGGAACGACGCCTGCACATGTTAGATGTGCGTAGAGCGCTGGCTTTTTACCTAGATAGAACCAGGCCATTTAGAAAGTCCCCCCCCAGCTGTTTATTGCATCGGCCGAGCGCATGAGGGGGCGATCGGTCTCCACTCAGCGGATCTACCGCTGGATCACCTTGTGCATTCGCACCTGTTACGACCTGGCAGGGGTTCCCCCGCCTCCTATAGTGAAGGCTCATTCGACGAGAGCCCAGGCCTCGTCAGCTGCCTATGTGGCTCACGTCCCTATTCAGGACATATATAGGGCTGCTACGTGGTCCTCTGTCCACACCTTCTCATTGCATTATGCGATTGTCTCCCAAACACGGGATGACGCAGGGTTTGGTAGGGCAGTGCTCCGCCCGGGTAACCCCTAAAAAAAAAACAAAAAAACTTAACACTTAAAACTCCTACCCACCTCCATCAGGTATAGCTTGGAGTCACCTATAGTGGAAAACACATGAGTAATCACTCGAAGAAGAAAGGACAGTTACCTGTTCCATAACTGGCGTTCTTCGAGATGTGTTGCTCAGGTGTATTCCACATCCCGCCCTCCTTCCCCTCTGTCGGAGTTGTCTGGCAAGAAGGAACTTAGGGTGGGGGGAGCACGCAGCCCCCTTTATGGCGCGATATAGAGGCGCAACTCCAGGGGTTGCAGCGGTGCTCCCCCTCTACGGGTACTGCTAAGGGAAAAACTTCCAGCACCGGTGCACGTGGCGAGCATGCACACCTATAGTGGAGTACACCTGAGCAACACATCTCGAAGAATGCCAGTTATGGAACAGGTGGTAACTGTCCTTCACTGAGCCTCAGCTATGGATCACCAACCTGATTTAATGTTCTCTCCCCCATCTCCAGTACTCAACTAGCTGGTGACCCCTCTGTGGATCATAAGCTGATATGTTTGTTTTAACAAACCATAGGTGGCAGTGTGGAGCTGGTAGCTGAGGGAGTGTGAGGAGGGGGACTGGTCACTCCTATCCTGCTGGCAGACCCAGGTGGCTGCTGATAGTTCACTCTGACAAGCATCCGGTGGCTTATGCAAGCAAGAGAATCAGCTCTTGATCCACAACTGAATCTCCATTTCAGTAGTGGCTCAGCCAGAGTGGGGGGATTACTGGAGATGGGGGTAGGCATGTTTGCTGGTGGAGGAGGAAGTATTGTTGCATTGTGGGGGACAGAGATTGCTGTCTCCGCTAGCTGAGAGACTACAGCACAGAGCAGGGGCTTATGGAAGGGTGGTACCATGGCTGGGGAGCATTTGTAGCGGGAATCTGAACAGGACATTGCTGTAGAGGCCATGGGCAAAGAGGGGATTCCGACCTGGGGAACTGAGGAGGGTTGTTGGCCAAGGGAGTTGTCAGCACTGGAAGCTGTCAGAGTCAGCTGCACCGATTGTGCCAGTGAGATGCTTCTACACTGTCACTCAATTAACTGAACCATAACTGAGCGTGGCTTTACCTCTCCAAATTACATAGAGATTACCACCATAAACGGTGGTAATCTACAACATATTGGTGTGCTGGGTTGCTCTCAACCATTAACTTGTATAAGGAAGTTGTGATGGGGAAGAGACAAATGAGTAACAGCTGACATCCAAAATTTTAAACTGTCTGATTGATCTGCTTGCTTGAAAGCAAGTGAGAGGGTAATTTCTGAACTGAAGTTACATAAAATACTGAAGAGGTTTCTCAAAATACATGGAGGTGCATTGCCAGTGTAGTGTGCCAGTCCGTTTACTACCAATAGTGTGTTATGATACAACAACCCTTAATGCAGTCAGGCATTCTAAAGTTACATTTACTGTGTGTTTGTGTATACTGAGCATCTTTCATATACTGAATACACCTCCTCTCTATATTTCCTCGCAAATTTCACCCAGTATTTGACTCTCAACCTTACATTGTCTGATAGACAGGGAATCTCTGGCATAACAAGCATCACTTTTAAGGATTACAATAAAATTGAAGACAGTTCTCTAGTTTGTAATTCTGTTGCATTTTACATAAGAACATAAGAACGGCCGTACCGGGTCAGACCAAAGGTCCATCTAGCCCAGTATCCTGTCTACCGACAGTGGCCAATGCCAGGTGCCCCAGAGGGAGTGGACCAACAGGCAACGATCAAGTGATCTCTCTCCTGCCATCCATCTCCATCCTCTGACAAACAGAGACTAGGGACACCATTCCTTACCCATCCTGGCTAATAGCCATTAATGGACTTAACCACCATGAATTTATCCAGTTCTCTTTTAAATGCTGTTATAGTCCTAACCTTCACAACCTCCTCAGGTAAGGAGTTACACAAGTTGACTGTGCGCTGTGTGAAGAAGAACTTCCTTGTATTTGTTTTAAACCTGCTGCTTTTTTTAATTTAATTAAATTTAATTTTAATTTTAATTTAGGATGCTAATGAAGTTCAGCATGCTGGTCTTCCAAACATTCCTATGGCTCCAGAACATTTAGACATTTTACCCTACATGGACTGGGAGCATGATACATCTGGATATGGATACCTGTTTTCTAATAGAGGAGTGGGTGAATCGGTAAATACGCTTAATGTGTTCTTGTTTTTAACATTTTTTGTGTATTACTCAGTTGTGGTAGTAGATGGTTTATAAGATAGCAGTTGGTAATTGTTTATAAACTCTGCACCATTTCTTATTATTCTGGATGCAATTAATTACATAAATGTTTGTATGAAGTTCAAAAAAATCAGAGGACTCTCTCCCAAAGAAAGGCAAGGTACATAAAAGGTCTTATGGCATCAGGCCCCATTGCAGCAGAGATCTTTGAGAGAGAAGAGGATGCTAGTGGCCCTTTACTCTCTTCCAGTGTAAATTCTTCCCTGTCTGTCTAGTCCAAGGCCTTGTCTTCTTTAGAGTACTCAGATGGTGGTACTTCTCTCAGGCTTGTCCTTGCATCTGTACCAAGGCTGCTTAAATCGATTTATATGTGGGATGTCATATATCCCTCAGCTGGTAAACCTTAGTTTGCTGGCGGAGTCCTCCTCTCTTACATCCACCATGCCTCATTCAGCACCCACAATACCCCCACAAAATACTACTACCCCTTTTTGACCCAAACAGCTAGTAAAAGTTTGAGGCGCTGGGGATGTTCCGGTTGGGGGTAGAAATTGATGAAAGAGTCTGGTATATCTTTAATGCAGTCTTGTTTATTAACAAGGAATGTACAAGGTCCTGTGTCCCTGAAGGCAGGAGGAACCAGAAAACAAATAGTTTCTTTGCTTATAGCCCCAAGCCTCTTTGGGTCTAGTGCTAGCTAAAGATCTCTCCCTCGCTTTTTCAGGGTCTTATACCATACTTACATTAGAGGCTGCTGTTTTACTCTTTTGGGCCATGTTTACACTACCAATTTGTGTCAACAAAAGTGATGTTGACATAATAAAAATCACAATTTCATGTTCACACTTGCTTCCTCTGTCGCAAGATCATGTCCACAGTGGGGGGTACCATCATCGACAGTATGAGCAATGCACTGTGGGTACCTATCCCACAGTCCTTCTGTTGCTGGGTATTGTGGAACGACGGAGCGGATCATGGCGCATGTTGGGACAGTGTTAAATGTCCCATGATGTATTGCTTTCTGTCCCGGCACTCCATGGGCTTCTGACTATTTTGTGTTTTTTCAACGGCCCTTCTTTGCTGTGCATCCTAGCATCTTTGTGAGAAGGGATGGATCTCGCACTGCTCTCCTATACTCTGTTAACTGTCATGAAGACATTGCAGATGTCAGTGCAGTTAATCGGGAAGTTTCTAACTGAGGAAGACTCACAGGTACCTTATATTCTGCGTGATACGGATAGGAGCAACTTTAGATTGCTTTTAGCATTCACTGAGCAGGTGCATAGGATAGACCGTTGCTTTTGAGCTCGTAAAACAAGCACTGAATGGTAGGATCGCATCGTCATGCAGGTGTGGGATGACGAGCAGTGGCTACAGAATTTTCAGATGCAGAAAGCCACCTTCCTGGAACTGTGCGCAGCGCTCGTCCCAGACCTGCGGCTCAAGGACACCAGAATGAGAGCTGCCCTCTTAGTAGAGAAGCGTGTGACAATTGCTGTGTGGAAGCTGGCAACTCCAGACTGCTACCAGTCGGTCATGAATAAATTTGGAGTGGGGAAGTTGACCGTTGGGGCTGCGTTAATGCAAGTGTGCAGAGCAATAAATCGCATCCTGCTACGAAGGACCGTGACTCTGGGAAATGTGTGTGAAATAGTAGACAGCTTTGCAGAAATGGGGTTCCCTAACTGTGGAGGGGCGATAGATGGCACACGTATACCAATTTTGGCACCAGACCACCTGGCGACAGAGTACATTAAAAGGAAGGGGTACTTCTCCACGGTGTTACAAGTGCTTGTGGATCACCATGGGCATTTCAGTGACATCAATGTGGGGTGGTCTGGGAAGGTGCATGGTGCACACATCTTCAGAAACACCAGCCTGTACAGAAAGCTGCAAGCGGGGACTTTCTTTCCTAACCAGAAGATTAGAGCGGGGTGTGTTGAAATGCCCATAGTGATCCTGGTGGACTCTGCGTACCCCTGACAGCTGTGGCTCATGAAACCTTTCACGGGACACCTCGACAGCAGTAAGGAGCAGTTCAACAACAGGCTCAGTAGGTGCCGGATGACAATTGAATGTGCCTTTGGCAGATTAAAGGCGGGTTGGCGATGCCATCATGGCAGGTTGGACCTCACTGAGGATAATATTCCTATGGTCATAGCCACATGCTGTATGTTGCATAATCTCTGTGAAGCTAAGGGTGAAAGGTTTGCTCAGGGGTGGAGTGCTGAGGCAGACCGCTTGGCAACTCATTTTGAGCAGCCAGATACCAGGGCTGTCAGAGGAGCCCAGAGGGGAGCTATTCGAATCAGGGAGGCTTTGAGGCAGCACTTTGACAATGACCACCAGTAACATATATCTCTGTCTGAGTTGCTTCAATGTTACATGCCATGTAGTTTTCCTAAGGGGCAATAGTGACATTTGGAGCCTTATATTCCTGTAATAAAGTGATCAAAATGCCTGTGCATCTATTGGCAGTGCCTGCAATCCCACCTTGTAGCAAAAAATTAAAGATGATTTACCATTATCAAAGTTTGCTTTTATTGCACAAGAAACAGCACACACAAACACACAGATGCTTGGCAGGAAAGGAGGAACCAGGGAAGAACAGACTTTCACAGCTGTGTGTAGGTCCAGCTATCATTGTGAAAGTTGTCTGAGGGGGTGGAGTAAAGGAGAAACCAAAAAGTCCTGGAAGGTGGAAAGGAATGTGCAAGCGGAGCGGGGGGGATGATTCTCTTTTCTGTCCTGCCCTTCGGCTTCACAGCATTCTTTTCATTCCCTTTTTTCTGCATTGGAGCACTGCAGGACCTCCCGGAACATGTCTTCTTTGCTGCATTTTGAGCGCTTTCTTATCTGGAGGAGACTCTCGGCCGGGGTGCGTGGGGTGTTCCTGAAGGCCACATCTGGTGAAGCACAGGGGACAATGCACAGAAGCGGGATTGTTAAATTCACACACAGAATTGAAACATTTCTGTTAAATATACCTTTTGCAACATTGCCATCACTTTCTCACTGACGGTAGCCAGGCACACATCTCTGCGAACACCCAAAGTATTTTGAGTGTTGGTGGGGGGGCGGTCCACATGGAGAAAAGAGCACACACTCTTTGCAAGGGTCATGGTGCAGCATACTAGGGAACAAATTATAAAATTCTCCCACAGTTTTCCGCAGGCGGGGTCATTCTAGCAGATATCTCACTGCTAAGGGTAAGCAGGGAAACAAGGGTACATCTACTCCATGCTTGTGGCTTCTGCCCTGCTCCCTATGCTGCTCGCCTGTGTGCTGCTTTGGTCCCTGCACAAGTGATTGCTGAATGGCGCAGGAAAGTTTCCTACAATGGGGAAAGGAACAAAGCTGCTCTGCCATGGAACCTTCAGCAGAAGATTACCGAGTACCTCCAGGAAACTTTCCTGGAGATCTCTCTTCAGGATTCCCATGAGATCTTGGCGTGCATCAACACCCTGTTCCGCTGTACAGATTAGCTACACAGGGAAATGTCCATCTCACAGAAACACAGCCAGCCTCCCACATTTCTATGCCCTGAACAAACCTCTCCATTACACAAGCCATACCCACTTACCAGGAGTCTCATCTCCTGCTTCTTGCTCGCCAGAGAGCAACTGCTGAGACTGGCTAGACACCTCTGGAGTGGAGAACAGTTCCTGGCTGCCTGCCCCACCGGGTGACCCCACTGGGAGCTGCACATCCTCATCTAACTCCACCTCTTTATCAATAACTTCATCCTCCAGGTTAGGCCCTCCTTCCGCCGCCACAAGACTCTTGGCAATGGAGGTGGGGTCACCACCGAGGATAGCATCCAGCTCCTTATAGAACCGGCAGATCTTAGGTGCATTACCGGAGCGATGGTTTGTCTCCCTCGCCTTATGGTACGCCTGCCTCAGCTCCTTTATCTTCGCTCTGTACTGCAGCGTGTTCTGATCACAGCCCTTTTCGCACAAGTCTCAAGAAATGTGCCTGTAGGTATCCTACTTCCTACGGCTTAAGGCAGCTGTGACTGCACAGCCTCCTCTTCCCATATGCTGATCAGATCCAACAGCTCTGCAGTGGTCCAAGCGGGAGAGCGTTTGCTGTGATAACCCATCATGGTCACCTGGGAAGATGCGATGAGATCTCTCCACTCTGAGCAAACAGGAAGTGGAATTTCAAAAATTTCCAGGGCTTCTAAGTTTGCTGCGATAACCCACCATGGTCACCTGGGAAGATGCGATGAGACCTCTCCATGCCGAGCAAACAGGACATGGAATTTCTAAAATTCCCGGGGCTTCTAATGGGGAGGTTGTTTACCTGGCTGCAGGGCAGCGGAGTTCAAACTGCTGACCAGAGCGGTCAGGATGGGCATTGTGGGACACCACCTGGAGGCCAATTAAAGCAATTAAATGAAGCGTGGTGTCTATACTGGCACTTTGTCGACAAAAATGTGGAGGAAAAAGACATAAATCTCTCACGAGGGTGGATGTATTTTGTTGCCAAAACCAGGCATTTTCCCTGACAAACGTCACCTTGCAGTGTCTACACTGTTTGGGTCGACAAACGGCAGTTTTGGCGACAAAACTTGGTAGTGTAGGCATGGCCTTGCTGTTTGCCTCTTTGAGATTGGATGTGAATGCACTCTACAATTAACATGACTGTCAGGATAAGTTAAGCAGGACCCACCCTTCATAAAACAAAAGCAGTTGTGAACCCACCCAGGGAACATACATATCAAAATAATATTCAGAATAGCCCCATTAAACACTCAGTCCAAAACTCCTGGATGGGCTCACACCCCTTTTGTCTTAGGGGGGCATCCTGCCAGCCTTATCCTGACAGTCATGTTAATTGTAGGGTCCATTCACACCCAATTTCAAAGATGTTTTAATTCAGCCCATAACAAGGTTTCACTCAGCTCATAAGAATACCTTCCCTTTCACCCTGTTCTACACATCCTCAGCCAAGACCCCGCAATGGGGAAGATCCTGTGTAAATCATGATTTCATTAATTGCATAGAAATTGTGAAATTAGTCCAATACCTTACTATTAAAAATGTGCACCTTATTTCTAGTCCGAATTTGCCTGGCTTTAGCTGCATGGAAAGAAGTTAATTGTTTAATTGACAAGACGAATAGGCTTTGTGTTGAGCATGATGATGATAGATTGATACTGTGTCTAATGAAAATATGGTCTTAATCACAAAAAAAGTTGGTTTAAACTCCAGAAATATTTTGTTTTCTTATAATTTTACTCGACAGGTTCCTTTTCATGAAGTAACTAGTGGTTTTTCTGACCACTTCCAAATTGGAGGAGATAATAAGCTGAAAAGTCTCCAATTTCAAAGTGACAAAGAACTTCCCTTGGTTGAACAGTGCATCTTACCAGATTCCATTGGATTCAGTTTTATAAAGACTGCTGAAGTTGAATATGATGCTGGTGCCACTGAAGTTGGACTATTTGCATCTATCTCTGAGCCACAACCAAAATTCGGCCTGCATAGACAATCACTTTTAAAAATCAGACTTCCCACGCCTCCAGCTGGTCCGCCTTTTCCTCAACATTCACAGGCTACTGGCATTAATTTTTCTTTTCAAGCTCCTTGCCCTCCTCCTCCTCCTCTTCCTGGTGGCCAAGCTCC